TCCCCCACCAACCCAAGCCACAACAATAGTTAGAAAAACACAAAAGTCTTTAAAAAGTCAACTTGGTCGGGCGTCTGGGTGGCTCAGTTGGTTAAGCAACTGCCTTCGGCTCAGGTCATGATCCTGGAGTCCCGGGATCGAGTCCCACATCGGGCTCCCTGCTCAGCAGGGGGTCTGCTTCTCCCTCTGCCCTCTTCCCTCTTGTGCTCTCTGTCTCTCATTCTCTCTCTCTCAAATAAATAAATAAAATCTTTAAAAAAAAAGTCAACTTGGTCAATAAAAAACGTAATTTGTTCAGATATACAGTAGGCAGCTAAAAATATAACACTCTGGCAGAGAAGTGGTGGCGATCCATCCCATTAGTAGTCACCAAAGGGGTTATCCAGGGAGAAAATATAGAAAAGCAGCACAGCTGAGGATGCAGACAACAAAATGCTGACATTGGAAGGGCAGATGGAAGAAGAGGAGCCAGCTGGGATTAAAAGTGGCTGAAATAGGGGCACCTGGGTGGTTCAGTTGGTTAAGTGTTTGCCTTTGGCTCAGGCCATGATCCCAGGGTTCTGGGATTGAGCCCCATGTTGGGCTCCTTACTCAACATGGAGCCTGCTTCTCCCTCTCCCTCTGCCGCTCCTCCTACTTGTGCTCTCTCTCGATCTCTCTCTAATAAATAAAATCTTTAAAAAAAAAATAAGAGTGGCTGAAATGGATGTAGGACAATCAAAAGCAAAGGCAGAAGTGATCTGATTTGGCTAAAGCCATCTCTAACAACAGATGAAACAGAAGAATTCTGTAAAGGATCCACACTCTGGATATCAATCAGGGTAAGAGGTTAGGAATTAATTCTGTGGGCCAAAGATTTTTAAACATCTGGGGGATTGAGAGGCTTATACTCCAACTCTCACCATTTGCCCTCAACCCCGAGGTACTGGCATTCACTGTAGGGCAGTTTGAAAATCATTCCTGTGGATAGTCATGGAGAGTTTCTGAGTATGAATTAATAGGAATAGGGGTGGTGTCAGGAGGATTCATTGGATAACTATACGGGATGAACTGGAAAAAGAAAAAAGCCTAGATTTTGGTAGCAACCATGGTATTGATCTCAAAGGTACAAATGGCAGCCTGAATTATTTTATTTAGTTTTTTTTGAAGTTTTTATTTAAATTCTAGTGAGTTAACATATAGTGTAATACTGGTTTCAGAAGGAGAATTTAGTGATTCATCACTTACCTACAGCACCCAGTGTTCATCACAAGTACCCTCCTTAATACCCATTATCCATTTAGCCCATCCCCTGCCCACCTCCCCTCCATCAACCCTCAGTTTATAGTTAAGAGTCTCTTATGCTTTTCCTCCCCCTCTTATTTCCCCCTTCCCCTGTTATTTTATTTCTTAAATTCCACATATGAGTGAAATCATACAGTATTTGTCTTTCTCTTATTTTACTTAGCACACTCTAGCTCCATCCATGTCATTGCAAAAGGCAAGATTTCATTCTTTTGGATGGCTAATATTCCACTATATATGTGTGAATATAGTGTGTGTATACACACACTATGTATAAATACACACACACACAAACACACCCCCCACATCTTATCCATTCATTAGTTGATGGACATTTGGGCTCTTTCCATAATTTGGCTATGATTAATAATGTTGCTATAAACATCAGGGTGCATGTGTCCCTGCAAATCAGTATTTTTGTATCCCTTGGGTAAATAACAAGTAGTGCAATTGCTGGGTCATTGGGTAGTTCTATTTTTAACTTTTTGAGGAACCTCCATACTGTTTTCCAGAGTGCCTGCACCAGTTTGCATCTCACCAACAGTGCAAGAGGGTTCCCCTTTCTCCACATCCTCTCCAACATCTGTTGTTTCCTGTGTTGTTAATTTTAGCCATTCTGACAGGTGTGAGGTGATAGCTCATTGTAGTTTTGATTTGTATTTCCCTGATGAGTGATGCTGAGCATCTTTTCATGTGTTTGTTGGCCATCTGCATGTCTTCTTTAGAAAAATGTCAGGGCAGCCTGAATTAAGATGTGGTGGTTAGCATGAAAAAGCTGCTTCGACAGGGCTTTGCCAGCCTACAGAACTAGGTATTTTTGGTGGGACTGAGACCATCTCAAGAGTTTTTACTTGGGAGGAGTGACATAAAGGCACTGGATCAGTGAAGGATTAATTTAGGAATGGTAAAAAGGATTAAACAGAGGGTAAGACTGGAGGTAGAGAGACCAGTTGTTGTAGCTGCACAGATATAAAGTGATGAGACCCTGAAAAAAAGTTCAGAACACACAAGCATTCTTTGCCAACATTCCACTGTGTCTTCCAAAATGGTGCCTCTAGTTCCTGCCTGCCTTAGTTTCTGGTCACCTCATCCCAAGAGGATATGCCTGGGCAGATCTCCCAGCTAGCACTCACCATTCCCTGGTTAGCTAGGCTGGCATGCTACAGCCTGGACGTCCCTCTCAATCCAGCCCCAATTCCACCACTTTCATTTGTTTGCCTTGGCCTCTCTTCTCAGGTGAAGAAGACTCTTTGGATGCTGCAAGAGTCATACACTATTTGTATTTGCCCAGGTGTCACTTTCATTTTCATTTTTCTATTCCCACCAAATCTGACAGAACAAAATACTGGCCCACAAGCAAGAACTTGGTTTTAAGCCCAGCTCTGCTATTGAATCATGTGGTCCTGGGCATGTCATTTTATCTTTTCTGGCCTGAACTTTCTAACCTTGAAAATAGGGACTGTTGATTAGATTAATGATAGTTAACTTCAAGAAACTGATGAAAGCTAAGGACCCCTTTCTCAGAAGATTCACATGTGCACATACAAAATCTATAAACTTCAGGAGATTCATAAACACCCTTCAAGCCCATCTATGAACCCTTCCAGGCAGTGTTTCTTAAAATATATGAGTCAGAACCACCTGAAGTCCTTGCTAAAAATGCAGTCCCAGACCCTCCCAAGAGATTTTGACTTACCGTGTCTGGAATGTAGGCCCAGTAATTTACATTTTTTACAACTCCAGGTGATTCTAATGCAGGTGGCCCATGCTGCACCATCATATCTAGATAAAGTGCCTGAAGCATCCTTGCAACTCAGGTTAAAAACTTTTGGACCAGGGCGCCTGGGTGGCTCAGTCGTTAAGTGTCTGCCTTCGGCTCAGGTCATGATCCCAGGGTCCTGGGATCGAGTCCCGCATGGGGCTCCCTGCTCAGCGGGAAGCCTGTTTCTCCCTCTCCCACTCCCCCTGCTTGTGTTCCTGCTCTCGCTGTCAAATAAATAAATAAAATCTTTAAAAAAAAAACAAACAAAAAAAACTTTTGGACCAGATGCTCACTAGAATTCATTCTACAGCTAAAGTAAAATTCTGTCTCTGTCTTTGTGGGCCTATGTCATTGAGAAGGGGATAATAAATAAAAGTTAACTTCTAGGTCTTAAGTCTGAATGGTTGTAGCACAAAAAGAAAAATCCAAATTGTCCTTTTCAAGTGAGGAAATGGGTACTCAATGTATTTGTTTCAAAAGGGGAAGAAAAAGTTTGAGGGATATTTACAACTTGTTAGTTACTAAATGTTTACAAAATCAAAATCAAACAATATAAAACCCCAAATCTGGACTCTACAACTTTCTAAAGAAATGTAGCGCTAAGTATGAGTCTCTGTAAGGTGAAACTGTTAAAACAAAGATATTCACACACAGCCAACAGATTCAAGATAAATACAAAAAGTATTTCTCTTGTACACAAATGATTTAGAAGTATTTGTGAAATAACGGTATGAAAATTATAGAGCAACAATTTGAACTACCCTACAACAGTCTCATAATTTGATTTGCTGTTATTAGGTACTTCTATTATAGAAGCGGAAGATAAACATGTTAACTTGGGTTTTAGGAGGCAGCCACAACTTCCTGGCACTTTGCATAAAGACTTTGACTTAATCCTCTTTGAGAAAAGTATCCCTTCCACTGTATAAATGAAGAAAGTGACACCCCAGAGTCACAGCTAGATAAGTGGCCCAGTCTGAGCAAATCTGGCCTCCTAACCTGATGTTTTTCATTGTGAGGACTTCCCGTCCCCATCCACCTGTGTCAATTTCCACACACGGCCTCCAACTCCTTTTAACCATCTCAGAGATGGGATGCATTTCTCCAGTAAATTCACCTGTCAGGAGCCGGGGCTCCAGACGCGCAAAGATGGGAGGAGGGTATGGGGCGGACAATGGGGGGTGAAACCGGCCTGAAACCTCAGAGCGTCACCCTTGGCTGGTCCCGGAGCAGAGCAACGGAGCAGAAACCCGGCTCCCTGGTCACCCCTCCCCAGGGACGGCCTCCCGGGCACTTACAACCACGAAACCAGGCTGCGGCGAGGGCTCGCGGTTGGGCCTGCACTGAGTTGCCGACCACAACGGGTAAAATTTCCTACAGCAGTCCTGCACCTCCCAGGTCCCGGCTACAACCTGCAACCTAAAGGCCAAGCGTGACTATGGGGCGGGACAGGGTACGGCAGCAACATTTACCTCATCCAGCTCGGGCCTGGCCGCTTCCGGCCTTTCCGGGTCACCCATCGCGCAGACTCCGCCAGAGCTACGGGAACTGAAGGAACCGAAAGCCTCAGACCACCTCCAACTATGCTAGAACCCAGGTGGCCCGCGGGTCCACTGAGTCCGCCCCGCCTCCAGCTGCACAAACCCCTCCTACTCCTGCCGGCCCCGCTTTCTCGCCAGCGGATAGAGCAACTCCCCCTGCGCCGGCCTGGCCCCGCCTCCCCCGCCTCAGGGACCCGCCTACTCCGGCCGGCCCCGCCTCCCGCCTGCGGCCTGAGGACGCCTCTCGGCCTCGGCCAACCCCGCACCATCCGTCGTGCGGACCCCGCCTCCCGCCTGCCCAGTGAGGGACTCCCCGCGCCTTCGGCCCCGCCTCCCCGGCCCCAGGACCCCGCCCACCCCGGGAGGCCCCGCCCCACCCCGCCGCCGCTACCCGGACCCCGACCCCGCCTCCCGCCGGCCCCGAGAAGAACTCCGCGGAACCCGCGGGCCTCGCCTCCCGGCTTGCAGCGTGAGAGATTCGGCCTGCGGCTTTCGGCCCCGCCCGCTTGGCTGGCTCCGGGCTCTGCTCACTGGTCCGGGAGGTACCCGGACACGCCTGGTCACCTCTCCGGGTCCAGATTCCCCAACCAGCTTTCGCCGTGCCTCAGGAACACGGTATGTCGCGCGAACTCGGCCTGTCCTGAGACACTGCCCCGGGGGGGAGGAGACCCTGGAGGAGATGAGGAGAAAGCGCTCTTCGCGTGTGAAGCGGTGGTGGGAAAAGCCACACGATTGGTGAAAAAAGAAAACCGCACTGTTAAAAAATTGAGGAGAAAAGGCTGCCTTGTTTTGTATTTCGGCAACCGAAAAGAAGTGGCTGAGGGCCAAGCGTGGGTGTGAATGGGGTAGGTGGGGCTCCCAGAGTGAGGAGGAGAGGCAGAAAGGACTAAATTCAGGCAGATGTTGTGGAAGCCCTGTGAAATTGTTTCAACAAACTAAGCTTTTGGAAGTAGTTACTGAGCGCCTGTGTGAGCGAGGCATTTCGTCTTCAGGACACCTGTGTGAGGATAAATCACTAGGATTAACTAGGGAGCAACAGAGAGATTCCCCCCGTGTCAGGGCAGGAGTCGGTGCCGAGAGTCACAATAATGTGATTGAATGACTGCTTCCAGTCTCTCGCGGGTGGGGGAGCTGATCTGAAGATAACTACGACAGAAAGCAAAAAGAAAAAAAAAAGTTTAGCAAATAAAAATGAGGTGAAAGAGATTCAGTAGCTTGAAGCTGAAATACTGGGAGAACCTTGTTATGCCTTGAATAACATGCACCTGTTCTGTGGATAGCCGTGTGAAGTATGGTGAAATAGGATAGAAAATTAAGCTTTGAAAATGCCCGACAGCCCCAGAATGGGGGATGAGAGTTATCTTTCTTAAGGCAATTACTAGGGGTCAAGTGCTGAGGAAAATGTTTTACATATATTGACTTTAAGTAATGGCTAAATTCTGTGAGGAAACTGAGTCTTAAAGAAGTTAGATAATTTATTGGCCACATGGCAAATTAAGAGCAAGGATTATGTCATTTAAAGTTATGAAACAATAGGTCTACTATATGTCAGGCATCATATTTGCTATTGAAGAAACAAAAATGAATGAATTTAGTGAAAAAGAACGTGGATCCTGGAGCCATATCATCATGGGCGTGAATTCTAGCTTCCCCATTTATTAACTGTGCTACCTTGGACAAGTTACTTAGCCTCTGCAAGATTCAGTTTCCTCACCTGTAGGATAAGAGTAATAATGCCTTCCTAAAAAGATTGTTGTGTATAATTAATACGTTACTTGTAAAGCACTTATTGGGGTGGGAAATTACAGTGGTAGCTTCCAAGTACACTTGTGCTACTAATCAGGCCATCCTAAAGATCATGGAACAGGGAGGTTCGGATCAAATTCAGTTGCTTGAATTACACAGTTTACTAAGTTAATTTAGAACCTACATCAAGGGGAAAGAGTTGGGGCAGCTAACATATTTAAGATAGGGTGTGGGGAGGGGAGGGACTGGAAGGAAGGACCCTACTTCAGATCTCAATGTCACTCAATGTTCATATATCCTGCCCTTGCTGCATCAGCTTTCCTGACTGGTGGTATAGTTATTTTTTGTTTTTTTTTTAAGATTTTTAAAATTTATTTATTAGAGAGCGAGCGAGAGAGAAACAGCATGAGAGGGGAGAGGGTCAGAGGGAGAAGCAGGCTCCCCGCTGAGCAGGGAGCCTGATGCGGACTCGATCCCAGGACTCCGGGATCATGACCTGAGCCGAAGGCAGTCGCTTAACCAACTGAGCCACCCAGGCGCCCGGTGGTATAGTTATTAAGAACAGAGTTAAGGGGCGCCTGAGTGGCTCACTTGGTTAAGCGTCTGACTTGGGCTTCGGTCATGATCTCAGGGTCCTGGGATCGAGTCCCTCATAGGGCTCTGCACTCAGCAGGAAGTCTGCTGCTCCCTCGCAGATAAATTTGATTTATTCTCAAATAAAATCTTAAGAAAAAAAAACAGCTAAGGATTAGCCAGGGGTCTCAACAGACAGAAGGTAAAGCCAACACACTGGCTCTTTTGGTGGTGCAGGATCAAGTAGACCTGCTCACAGGTGTAACTTGCCGTAAATTAACCTGCTGTGAGTTTTATCTCTGTTTCCTGGGAAGAGCAGATGTGGGGCCAAAATGGATGTCACCAGTTGGTGGCTGATTTAGGAATAACATAGTTGTCAATCTGGAAGTGACATGATCTTTACCTTATGAATATTTAAGACCTACTTATTCCTTCCAGCCATTTCTGTCTGTGACATTCATTTATTCCATTATTTTCATCTATGTTCAACATAATGTTCCATTTATTTTGTCTTTAACATGCCTCATAGGTTAATAACTTATTTACTATTTATACTTAACATATCTTATGAATCTCTTTAGGTCTTACAATCTAGTTGCTCCCACACTTAGTTTCTTTCAATTTTTACTGCAGAATTGAATAATCTTAATATAGCAAAAACACATTACAGTGCTTTTAACGGTGCCTGGTGTGTTTAAAGTTAATAGGGCAGATATAAAATGTGTAACTGGAAGATCTCTGGGAGTAAGAGGATTCTCTATCTTCATATAGCCTCTGTAGCATATTTTCCAAGAATACCCTCAACACTTTTGATCCCACGTGCTGTTCCAGAGACTTAACATATCCCTCCCGTCAAAAGGTGGAGTCTTGGGGCACCTGGGTGGCTCAGTCGGTTAAGCGTCTGCCTTCCACTCAGGTCATGATCTCAGAGTCCTGGGTTTGAGCCCCTCATCTGGATCCCTGCTCAGTGGTGAGCCTGCTTCTCCCTCTTCCCCCCTTTCCCCCCACCCCAGTTCATGCTTGCTTGTGCTCTCTCTGTCTCAAGTAAATAAAATCTTAAAAAAAGAAGGTGGAGTCTCATTCCTCTTCTACTGGTGGTCTACATGTTTGTGTCTCCCAAAATCCGTATGTTGAAAACCTAATGCTCAAGGTAATGGTTTTAGGAGGTAGGGCCTTTGGGAAGTGATTAATTAGGTCATGAGAGTTGAGTCTTCATGAATGGAATTAGTGCCCTAGATTGTTATGGGTTTTTTTGTTTGTTTTTGTTTGGTTTTTTGAAACTGAGTTATAGGGGTTTTTTTGTATATTTTGGATATTAACCCATTAAAAAGGATATGATTGCAAATATTTTTTCTCATCCAATAGGTTGTCTTTTCATTTGGTTGGTGGATTCTTTTGCTGTGCAGCTTTTTAGCTTATTTATGTTGGGGTTTGTTGCCTTTTAGTATCAGATCCAGTAAAAATCATCACTAAGACTGGTGTTTAGGAGCTTACCACTTAAGTTTTCTTCTAGAGTTTTATGGTTTCAGTCTTTAATCTTTAATCCATTTTGAGCTAATTTTTGTGTATGGTGTTAAGATAGTGGGCCAGTGTCATTCATCTGCATGTGGCTGTCCAGGTATCCCAACACCATTTTTTGGAGTGACTGTCCTTTCCCATTATATATTGTTGGATCTTTTGTTGTAAATTAATTAACTATATATGCATGGTTTTATTTCTGGGCTCTCTATTCTTTCCATTGATCTATGTGTCTGTTTTATGTGAATACCATACTCTTGATTATTACAGCTTTGTAATTTAGTTTGAAGTCAGGGAGTGTGATGCCTCCAGTTCTTTCTCAAGGTTGCTTTGGCTATTCTTTTGTAGGTCTATACAGAGGTCTTTTGTAGTTCTATACAGATTTTAGGATTGTTTGTTCTATTTCTGTAAAATGTGCCATTGGAATTTTGCTACAGGTTGCATTGAATCTATAGATTGCTCTGAGTAGTATGGACATTTTAACAATATTCTTCCAACCCATGAGGGCAGACTCTCTATTTATTTGTGTTTTCAGTTTCTTTTATTAATGTCTTATAGTTTTCATTGTGCAGGTCTTTCACCCCCTTGGTTAAATTTATTCCTAGGTTTTTATTCTTTTTGATGGAATTGTAAATGGGACTATTTCCTAATTTCTCTTGTAGTTCATTATTGTATAGAAATCAACAGATTGGGGCGCCTGGGTGGCTCAGTCGTTAAGCATCTGCCTTCAGCTCAGGTCATGATCCCGGGGTCCTAGGATCAAGCCTCACATCGGGCTCCCTGCTCAGCAGGAAGCCTGCTTCTCCCTCTCCCACTCCCCCTGCTTGTGTTCCCTCTCTCGCTTTGTCCCTGTCAAATAAATAAATCTTAAAAAAAATCAACAGATTTCTTTATATTTTGTATCCTGTAACTTCATTGAATGTTTATTTTAATACTTTTCTGGTGGAGATTTTAGTGTTTTCTATATATAATATGTCATCTGCAAATAGTGAGTTTTATTTCTTCCTTTCCAATTTGGATGCCATTTATTTTTTTTCTTGACTAATTGTTCCAGGTAGGCCTTCCAGTACTATGTTTAGTAAGTGGCAAGAGCGAGCATCCTTGTTTTGTTCCTGACCTTAGAAGGAAAGCTTTCAACTTCTTAGTGTTGATATGATGTTAGCTGTGGGCTTGTCATATATTGCCTTTACTATATTAAGGTATGTTTCCTTTATACTCACTTTGAGAGTTTTATAAGTGGATGTTGAGTTTTTTTGTCAAATGCTTTCTCTACATCTGCATTCTCTGAGATGATCATGATTTTTTATATTTCATTTTGTTAATTTGTTGTATCACATTGATTTGCAGATGTTGAACCACCCTTGCATCCCTGGAATAGATCCCACTTGATCTTAGGGTATGCTCTTTTTAATGTATTGTTGAATTTGGTTTGCTAATATTTTGTTGAGGATTTTTCCATTTATGTTCAGCAGAGATATCGGCCTATAATTTTCTTGTGGTGTCCCTGTCTGATTTTATTGTCCCGGTAATGCTAGTCTCATAAAATGAGTTTGGTAGAGTTTGAGAAGGACCCTTTTTTGGGAGAGTTTGAAAAGGACCCTTTTTTGGGAGAGTTTGAGAAGGACTGGTATAATTTTTCTGTGAATGTTGGTAGAATTCTCCAGTGAAACTGCAGTTCAGGACATCTGTTTGTTGGGGGGTTTTTAATTACTGAGCCAACCTCCTTACTAGTGATTGGTCTGTTCAGATTTTATATTTTTTCATGATTCAGGCTTGGTAGGGTGTATGTTTTTAGGAATCTATTCATTTATTCTAGATGGTCAAATTTGTTGGCATATAATTGTTCATAGTAGTCTCTTAAGATCTTTTGTATTTCTGTGAGACCAGTTATAACATCTCTTTCATTTCTGATTTTGAGTCCTCTTTTTTTGCTTGGGAAGTCTAGCTAAAGTCAATTTTATTTAACTTTTCAAAGACCGGTTCTTAGTTTCATTGATCTTCTCTATTATCTTCTTAGTCTCTGTTTCATTTATTTCTGCTCTAATTCTTCTTATTTCCTTCCTTCTGCCAACTTTATTCTTTTTCTAGTTCCTTGAGGTGTGAACTTAGGTGGTTTATTTAAGATAATTCATTTCTTGATGTAGGTATTTATCACTATGAACTTGCCTCTTAGAAGTGCTTCTGCTAGAGCGCCTGGGTTGGTCAGTCAGTTAAGTGTCCTACTCTTGATTTTGGCTATTGATTTTTGGCTCCGGTCGTGATTTCAGGGTTGTGAGATTGAGCCCCGTGTCAGGCTCTGTGCTCAGTAGAGAGTCTGCTTGTCTCTCTCCTTCCCTCTGCTTGCATACTCTCTTTCTCTCTCTCTCTCAAATAAATAAAATCTTTTTTAAAAAAGTGCTTTTGCTAGCGACGCCTGGGTGGCTCAGATGGTTGGGCGTCTGCCTTCAGCTCGGGTCGTGATCCCGGGGTCCTGGAATCGAGCCCCACGTCGGGCTCTGTGCTCTGCAGGGAGCCTGCTTCTCCCTCTCCCTCTGCCTGCCTGTCTGCCTACTTGTGATCTCTCTCTCTGTCAAATAAATAAATAAAATCTTTAAAAAAAAAAAAAAAGTGCTTTTGCTACATCCCATAAATTTTCATGTTGTATTTTCATTTGTCTCAAGATATTTTTAAATTAATTTATTTTTAATTGAAATATAGTTGACATACAATATTAGTTTCAGATGTACAACATAGTGATACAACATTTATATAACATTATGAAATGCTCAGAACAATAAATATAGTTACCATCTGTCACCATACAAAGTTATTCATTATTTTTGACTATATTCCCTATGGTGTATTTTACATCCCTGTGACTTATAACTGGAAATTTGTACCTCTTAATCCCCTTTACCTATTTTGCCCATCCCTCTACCCCCCCAGCAACCACCAGTTTATTCTCTATATTCGAGTCTGTTTGTTTTTGTTTTTTGTTTTTTGTTTTTTGTTGGTTTTTTTCTTTTGGATTCCACATGTAAGTGAAATCATATGGTATTTGTCTTTCTCAGTCTGACTGCACTTAGCATAATACCCTCTAGGTCCACCCATGTTGTCACAAATGGCAAGATTTCATTCTTTTTTTATGGCTGAGTAATACTCCATTGTATATATATATACCACACCTTTATCCATTCATTTATTGATGGACACTTGGGCTGCTTCCATATCTTGGCTATTGTAAATAATACTGTAGTGAACATAGGGCTGCATATATCCTTTCAAATTAGTGTTTTTGTTTTCTTTAGGTAAATACCCAGAAGTGGAACTGCTGTATTGTATGGCATTTTTTATTTTTAATTTTTTGAGGAAACTCCATATTGTTTTACATAATGGCTATACCAATTTACATTCCACCAACAGTGCACAAGGGTTCCCTTTTTCCCTTTTCTCCACTTCCTTACCAACACTTGTTCTCGTCTTTTGACACTAGCCATTCAGACAGGTATGAGGTGCTAGCTCATTGTGGTTTTGATTTGCATCTCCCTGATGGTTAGTGATATTGAGCATCTTTTCTTTCTTTTTTAAAGATTTTATTTATTTATTTGACAGAGAAAGACACAGCGAGAGAGGGAACACAAACGGGGAGTGGGAGAGGGAGAAGCAGACTCCCTGCCGAGCAGGGAGCCTGATGCGGGACTCGATCCCGGGACTCCAGGATCATGACCTGAGCCGAAGGCAGTCGCCTAACCAACTGAGCGACCCAGGCGCCCGAGCATCTTTTCATGTTGACCATCTGTATGTCTTCTTTGGAAAAATGTCTATTTAGGTCCTCTGCCCATTTTTCAATCATGTTTTGTTTGTTTTGGTGTTGGATGCAGAAGTATATTTTGAATTAACACTTTATTGGATATATCATTTGCAGATCTCTTCTCCCATTCAGTAGGTTGTTTTTTAATTTTGTTGATGGTTTCCTTCACTCTACAATCAAGGTATTTTTATTTCTTTTGATTTTTTCCTTTGATCCATTGATTATTCAGTGGCATGTTGTTTAACCTCCACATATTTATGAATTTTTCCATTTTCTACTTGTAATTGATTTCTAGTTTTATACCACTGTCGTCAGAAAAGATGCTTGATATGACTTCAGTCTTTTTAAATTTAAGATGTGTGGGGCGCCTGGGTGGCTTAGTCATTAAGCGTCTGCCTTCGGCTCAGGTCCTGGGATCAAGCCCCGCATCGGGCTCCCTGCTCAGCGGGAAGCCTGTTTCTCCCTCTCCCACTCCCCCTGCTTGTGTTCCCTCTCTTGCTGTGTCTCTCTCTGTCAAATAAATAAAATCTTAAAAAAATAAAATAAAATTAAGATGTGTTTGGTGGCCTAACGTATGATCTGTCCTGAGGAATGTTCTATGTGTACTTGAGAAGAACATGTATTCTGTTGCTTTTGGATGTTCTAATCTGTATATATCTGTTAAGTCCATCTGGTCTAACATGTCATTTAAGGCCAATGTTTCCTTGATTTTTCTGTCTGGATGATTTATCCATTCGTATAAGCAGGGTATTAAAGTCCCCTACTAAAAAAAAATAAAATAAAGTCCCCTACTATTACTGTATTGCTGTGTCTTCCTTTAGATATGTTAATATTTGCTTTATATATTTAGGTGCTGCTATATTGGGTGCATAAATATTTACAAATATTATATCCTCCTGTTGGATTAACCCCTGCTTTCGTTATGTAATGCCCTTCTTTGTCTCTTATTAGTCTTTAATAAAGTCTATTTTTTCTATTAAAAGTATATCTAGGGATACCTGGGTGGCTCAGTCGGTTAAGCATCTGCCTTCAGCTCAGGTCATGATCCCAGGGTCCTGGGATCAAGTCCTGCATCAGCAAAAGGAACAATCAACAAAATGAAGAGACAACCTACAGAATGGGGAAAAATACTTGCAAACCTGCAAAAAATTTGCAAAGCCTGCTCCTCCCTCTGCCTGCTGCCCCCCACCATACTTGTGCTCTCTCTGACAAATAAATAAAATCTTTAAAAAAATTTACAAAAAAGTATATCTACCCCAGCTTTCTTTTGGTTTCCATTTGCTTGGAATATCTTTTTCCATCTTTTCACTTTCAGTCTGTGTATGTCTTTACATCTGACTTGTAAGCAGTATATAAATGGGTCTTATTATTATTATTTTTAATCCATTCAGCTATCCTGTGTCTTTTTGTTGCAGAATTTGGTGTATTAGTTCCCTTCTGAAAGAGGCTCCAGAGAGCTCCCTGGCCCTTTCAGCCATGTGAGGGTACAGTGAGAAGTCTGTGAGAAGTGGGCACACTCATTCCATCACACTGGCACCCTGCTCTGATTTCCAGCCCGCAGAACAGTGAGAAATAAATATTTGTTGTTTATTGTTTGTTGATTATAAACCACCCAATCTGTGGTATTTTGTTATAGCAACCATAACAGACTAAGATACTTCCCTTTGAATGTAAGCTGTCCTTAGTGACTCTTTTTTTTTTTTTCCTGGTTTTATTAAGCTGTAATAGACATACAGCACTGTATAAGTTTAAGGTATATAACATAATTTGGCTTACGTAAGTTGTGAAATTATTACTTCAAGTTTAGTTAACATCTTCTGTTGATACAAAAAAGAAAGTATTTTTCCTTCAGATGAGAACAGATTTATACTTTTATACATATCATACAGCAGTATTAACTATGGTCATCATGTTGTATGTTACACCTCTAATATTTATTTATCTTATAATTGAAAATTTGTACCTTTTGACCACCTTTATCCAATTCCTTTTCCTCTTACCCTTCACTTGTGGTAACCAGAAATCTGATCTCTTTTTCCATGAGTTTGTTTTAAGATTTCACATATAAGTGATAATTTTGTATTTGTCTTTCTCTGTCTGACTTCTTTCACCTGGCATAATGGCCTCAGGGTCCATTCGTGTTGTTGTAAATGTCAAGATTTTCTCCTTTTTATGGCTGAATAATATTCCATTATATATGTATATAATATATATAGCACACTTTATCCATTCATCTGGTAATGGACACTTAAGTTTCTATGCCTTCCCTGGCTGTTGTAAACAATGCTTCTGTGAACATGGAGATGGAGATATCTCTTCGACATAGCATAGTGTTTTCATTTCCTTCACATATATTCCCAGAAGTGGAATTGCTGGATCACATGTTAATTCTATTTTTAATTTTTTGAGGAACCTCCGTAGTGTTTTTCATCATGACTGTACCAATTTACAGTTGCACCAAAAGGGCACAAGGATTCCAATTTTTTCTACATCCTTTCCAGTGTTATCTCTTGTCTTTTGACGCTAGCTGTTTTAAATGGTGTGACATAATGTCTTATTGTGGTTTTGATTTGCATTTCCCTGATGATTAGTGATGTTGAGCATCTATTGGCCATTCCTATATCTTCTTTGGAAAAATGTGTATTCAGGTCCTTTGACCATTTTTAAATTGAATTATTTGCTTTCTTATTGAGTTGTATGAGTTCTTTATGTATTTGGGATATTAACCTTGTATCAGATTTTTGGTTTGCAAATATTTTTCTCCATTTTGTAGGTTGTCTTTTCATTTTGTTGATTGTTCCTTTTGCTGTGCAAAAGCTTTTTTGATATAGTCCAACTTGTTTATTTATTTATTTATTTATTTATTTTTAAAAGATTTTATTTATTTGACAGAGAGAGAGAGACAGCAAGAGAGGGAACACAAGCAGGGGGAGTGGGAGAGGGAGAAGCAGGCTTCCCGCGGAGCAGGGAGCCAGATGCGGGGCTCGATCCCAGGATCCTGGGATCATGACCTGAGCTGAAGGCAGATGCTTAACGACTGAGCCACCCAGGCGCCCCCCACCTGTTTTTTTTATTTTGTTGCTTGTACTTAGGTGTCCTATCAAAAAAATCATTGCCAAGACTCATGTCAAAGAACTCTTTTCCTATATTTTCTTCTAGGAGTTTTATGGTTTCAGGTCTTATATTTAAGTCTTTAATCTGTTTCAAGGTAATTTTTGTGAGTGGTATAAGATAGAAGTCTAGTTTAATTTTTTTACATGTGAATATCCAATCTTCCCAGCAGCATTTATTCAAGAGGCTATTTTTTTTTCCATTCAGTATTCTTGGATCCCTTGTCAAATATTAGTTGACTGTATATGCATTAGTCTGTTTCTGGGCTTTTCATTCTGTTCCATTGGAGTTGAGCGACTTTTAACAAATACATGACTTCCAAGTCTAGCTCATAAAGTATACAATACAGACAGTGTTTGCCTGGTTCTTTCTCTCTCTCTTGCCCTTGGAACTTAGGTAACATTCTAAGGAAGCCAAAAACTAGCCCACAAAGAGAGATGACATGGAGATGTCTATGTGGGAAGGAACTGAGGCACCCAACCAACAGGTAGCATCAACTGCTAGATGTGTGAATGAAGGAACTGTCAGAGGATTCTAGCCCCTAGTCATCAAGTCTTCTACTTGAAACCCCATACATCTTGGAGCAGAGATAAGATGTCACGACTGTGTTGTGTCTAAATTCCTACCCCACAGAATTTATGAGCGTAATAAAGGGTGGTTTTATGCTGCTAAATTTGGGGATAATTTGTTTTGCAACCATAATAACTGGAACAGCCTCCATTCCACTCACAAAGATTTGTGTGGTAATGGCCTAAGAAGGCAATTTACCCTATGGTACAGAAAATGTGTAATTTCAAGCTATTCTTATTGTGCATCCTTCAATGAGTAGATCCTCATTTCTCAAACTTTATATCTCAAACTCTTTTAAAGAAAAAAGTTCTCACAGCCATTCAGTATTAACTTAAGATATATATGTTGTCTTAAGTTTGTAAATACTTAAGTACCAGTTATAAACTACCTATTCTTAGAGCTTTAAAATGACTAAAAAGTACAAATAAATGCAAGCAAAACTGTAGGAATGGTAGAACTCAAATTTATGACATTAAGCCTTGGATGATGTTTTGCAGAAACTGTGTTGCATCAGAGTGAATTTTATAGTAACCATTAATGAAGTGTGGTGTTTTGCATTCCAGTCATGGGATAGAGGACTCCATTTTCCTACAGCAGCAGCTCTATAGATCACTTGCCTTTCACCAGGAGCAAATGCATCATTTATTTATATTTTTTACGATTTATTTATTTTTGAGAGAGAGTGGAGGGGAGGGGCGGGGCAGGGAGAGTCTCAAGCAGACTCCATACTGAGCATGGAGCCTGATGCAGAGCTCAATCCCATGAGCCTAAGACCACAACTGAGCAGAAACCGAGTCTGATGCCCAACCAACTGTACCACCCAGGTGCCCCTCAAATGCATCTTTTATATATTAAATTTGCCTACTTAGCTTTAGTCATTAAAAGGAATATTGCGTGACATCAATGGCATCATAAATGGTCATCCAGATAATCTATTTATTAAAAATCAAAATAAAATGCACAAAATTGGCAGATCCTGAACCCTAGCTTGAAAATCACTAGAATAGATGGTTCTATATTTAATGAGCCATTTGTTTATCATGCAGAAGTCCTTTGGTGTGAGGGGAAAAGGCAAATTTGGAGGCAGAGGTTATCAATTTAGAACAATTGGAATAGGCCAGGTTCAAGATAATGCAAATCTGAAATAAGACTGTGGCAGTGGGGAATGCAAGAAGGAGATGTGCATGTGATTTAAATAGATAAACTCAAGATGATTTGATCAGCGATTGGATATGGAGTGTATGGTGGAGGGATGATTCTAGGATAACCACAAGTTTCTGGTCAAGAGACTAGGTAGTTAGTAAGCCTTTGATCCATGCAGGTTTAATAGAAAAAATTTCATATCAGTTTTGGACACGTTGAGATCATGGTGCCTGTGACAAATACAACTGGAGGTATCTAGTAATGTGGCCCAGAAGTGACAGGCTCAGCCCATAGATCTGATCTAGCTCTGCCAACCTCAAAGCCATACTTAGCCATATTTAACATTCATCATAAATAAAGCATGTGTCTCAAAAGAATTGGCAAGTGTTTTGTTATGTGTGTGTGTGTATTTAAGTTTTAAGTGCAGTATAAAAAACTATTCCCCCCCTTAACTTCACAGTAAGTTGTTGACCTGTTTAGACTGAATGCAGAATAAAGGAAGCAAAGCCACTTTCTTTTACTCGTAAGTGTGAGAGCACTGGAAGGATAGTAGTTTTTGGTCAAAGGATGATACAATAAGCTTAATATTTCAGAGGTGCAGAGCTCTAGGTGATAAAAATGAACACTGAGATTACAACGTTATGTTCCTAAATTGGAGTGAAGTTGGTCATTAAATTTATTAATTCCTTTAATAAATATAAACATACTGGGCAGTGGAGAGGCAAAGGTAAATGAGCCACTGTTCTTACTCTTAAGGAACTTAAAGGCTAGAGGGGGAAATCAAGCAAATACATTGTGCTGGGAGAGTACAAAGGAGCATCTAAACCAGCTTTGTCAGGAGGGCAGGTGGAGGGCAGGTCAGGGAGAGCTGCTTGGTGAGGTGGCTAAATCACATTCTGAAGTATGATTAGGAATTAACCATTCCAAGATGAAGAAAAGGCAGTAACATCAAGCGGTATGTGGACAGGCCCCAAGGGCACAGAGGACATAACCCATCAGGGGACTGCAAATCTTTCAATATAATAAGGGAGGAAGTAAAGATAAGGCTGTAAAACAGGATTCCAGTCATGAAGAGACTTGTATGTTGTGTTAAGGAGTCTGGACTTTACCTTAAGGGCCATGGGAAGTCAATATATTTTAAACAGGTGAGTGACATGATAAGCATTTCATTTTTTTAAAAAGATTTTATTTATTTGGTAGAGACAGTGACAGAGATAGCAAGAGAGAACATAAGCAGGGGGAGGGGCAAAAGAAGAGGGAGAAGCCGGCTCTCCGTGGAGCAGGGAGTCCAACGTGGGGCTTGATCCCGGGATCCTGGGATCATGACCTGAGCCGAAGACAGATGCTTAACCAACTGAGCCACCCAGGCGCCCCATGATAAGCATTTTAGAAAGATTGCTGTATCTCTGCATATTGAAGGGGAGCAAAACAACAGAGAAACCAGCTAGTTGAAGTAATGTAGGCTAGTAATGTAGGCAAATTAGATAAGAATTGTAGACCGGAGAGAAGTAGGCAAAGTCAAGAAAGAAGGATTTAATAACTAAGGGGTTTGATGGTTAATTTGAATGTGGAGGTAAAGAAGAAGAAATTAAGCATGATTCTATGTTGCTGACTTGGGAACTAGATAACTTATTTATAAATTATTTTTGAGCCAACTATCATTCTAAGTACTGGGCTTAAAATAAGTGAACAAGAATAGAGTTTTTGATAGTGTTTACTCTTGAGAGTCACTGGAGAAGTT